GTTGGGAAATGACTTCATGTCGAAGGGCAGTGAGCAGGAGTCCGTTGCCAAGTTGAAGAAACTCATGATCATCATGGACAGTATGAATGATTATGGTTGGTTGGTTGGCAGGTTGGCTGACTGGTTAGTTGGCTGGTTGGTTGGTTGGTTGTTTTGGTTGATTGTTTGTTGGTTGGCTGGCTGGTTGATTGATTGGGTGGTTGGTTGGTTTGGTTTATTGTTGGTTGGTTGGTTGATTTGTTGGTTGGTTGGTTGGTTTGTCTACTTGCTTCTTTAATCAACGATATCAATACAAATACTCAATTCATATATATATACCTGCAAATAATCAAACCTAACAACTCAAAATTTTCTGCCACCTCAATACAATCAAAACATCCACCAAATATTTTTCCAGAACTGGACAGTGACGAGGGGGCCAAACTGTTTACCCGACAACCAGGTCGTGTTCAGAGGGTGGCCATGGGATCGGGAGTTTCCAACTCAGCGGTGCAAGAACTTCTCAAACAGTACACCAAATTTGCACAGTTGGTCAAAAAGATGGGGGGCATAAAGGGCCTGTTCAAGGGGGGCGACATGGCCAAGAACGTCAACCCCACTCAGATGGCTAAGTTGAATCAGCAGATGATCAAGATGATGGATCCTAGAGTTCTCCATTCCATGGGTTCGTCTGTCTATTTGCCTCTATATCTGTTTGTTTGTTTGTCTATCAGTGTATGTCTCTATATTTGTTTGTTTGTATGTGTATGTTTATTTGCCTGAGCGTATTTATGTGATGAGAGGATGATAAGTTGGTGATGTTTTAATGGTGAGATATATGCGTTAGGGAGATGATGTTTCCGACTTCCGACTCCATTGTTTGCTTTCTATTAAGATGATGTTTATTTATTTCTTTGTATATCTTTTTAAGCAAAAATTGTTTTTTATCTTTGTGTTATATTTTAATATTTTTATTTTTGTTGATAATAAAATTATTTTAATATAATGATTGTTGTAATGATTTGCTAGGTGGCGTTCCTGGGTTGCAGAACATGATGAAGAAGTTGCAGCAGGGGGCTGGTGGTCGGGGTGGTGGGGGCATGTTTTGATTGACTGTCTTGTAATTATGCGTGTGTGTAGTTGTTTGATTGATTGTTTGATTAATTGATTGATTGATTGAATGATTGATTGATTGATTGATTGATTGATTGATTGATTGATTGATTGATTGATTGATTGATTGATTGATTGATTGATTGATTGATTGATTGATTGATTGATCGATTGATTGATTGATCGATCGATCGATCGATTGATTGATTGATTGATCGATTGATCGATTAATTGATCGATTGATCGATTAATTGATCGATTGATGGATTGATTGATTGATCGATCGATTAATTGATTGATTGATCGATTAATTGATTGATTGATTGATTGATTGATTGATTGATTGATTGATTGATTGATCGATTGATCGATTGATTGATTGATCGATCGATCGATCGATCGATCGATTGATTGATTGATTTGATAGATTGTTTGGTTTGATTGATTGATTGGTTGATTGATAAATTGATTGATACATTTATTCATCGAGTTGTTCATTTTTAATTGATCTGGTGGCTGGTTTGTTGCTTGATCTATGCACTGCTTGGTCAGTTAAACAGTTCAGTCTAATTGAGGATTTAATTAAAAACTCATTGATCATTTTGTTGATTCACTAACCATCCTCAAACTAACTAGCTATCAGTGTTAAAAATTTGATGAATATTCATAAGAATCCAGATAACATTGTTTTCGTCATGGATGCGTCCATTGGTCAGGCTTGTGAAGCTCAGGTCTTTATGCTTATTTGAAGCTTCATGCTAATTTGAAGATTTATGTTAATTTGAAGTTTTATATTTATCTTATTTTATTTTGAAGGATTAGTTACCTATCTGTCATAAAAATTTATCTCAAATGATCAAATTCAAAATTAATATCGAATTATTTTGCTGAATAATTAATTTTTATTAAATGTTAATTTATCCATTAAAAGGATTTATTAATTAATTAATTTTTATTAAATCGTCGTTTGCATCAAGGCACGTGCCTTCAAAGATAAAGTCGATGTTGCATCGGTCATCGTCACGAAGTTGGACAGCCATGCAAAGGGCGGCGGGGCACTGAGCGCGTCTGTTGTTGTTCTGTGGATGTTCTGTTGCTGTTGTGGTTGTTATTGTTGTAGTTGTTGTTTCGTTTAGCTGGACCGCCAGACTTGCAACGCAAGTTTTTATCTACTATTTCGTCGGCAGTAGAATCTGTTTTTGATTGGAGGGCAGCGAGTAAACTAGCTCAAGTTAAATGTCAACAAGACTCAACATTTATGGCTTAGTAGACCCCAGATGCTTAGTCAATTGAATCAGTTTAAAGATCCAATCGAAGGACGTGGTACCATTCTTAACGCAGATCTCGCTTTATTCTGCCAGAGATCAGATCAATAAAATGTCATTTGACAATTGCCTGCAGTTTTGTGTCAATGATTACTGCAACTTAATTAATTATGCATGGAATAAATTTATCTCAACCTGATTGAATCCAGTCAATTTCAAATACCGCTGCCGGGTTTGTTTAGGTTTGAACAACCCAGAGTCAAAAAGCGCCTCTGAAGTTTGATCAGAAGGGCTGGTTATTTTTTATGACAATCATTCATTTGTAAGTGCTTTTGGAGAACTTCTTAATTAGCGCCGTATGATTATTCTGACGATGATGACGACGATGATGATGATAATGATGATGATGATGACGATGATATAAACCCAGCCATATAATGATGAAATATTGCACATGCATGCACAGAGTGGCTGCCACGAAATCTCCCATCATATTCATCGGAACAGGTGAACATATCGACGACTTTGAGGCTTTTAAAGTTCAACCATTCGTCAGCAAGTTATTAGGTAGGTAGGTGGGTAGGTGGGGAGTGTCTGTCGGCTGTGATTGTAATTGTAACATGGCGGTACTGCTCTTGATTGTGATGTCATCATTATTTTGGTTATGGTGATGGAGATGGAGAATATTTGTTAGAATAAACATTAATCTCACAGTGCTATTATTAATAGTTTCCACAATAACTACAATGATGATGATGATGATGTAATGAGAATGATGATGTCACGAAAATGATGATGTCATGAGAAGGATGATGTTGAAGTTATCATTCAGGTTTAATGTGGGGAAATGATTTAAATTCGATGTATGATGATCGCCATTCTAGGCATGGGAGATATTGAGGGTCTTATCGATAAGGTCAGTGAACTGAAGTTGGATGATAATGAAGAACTTATGAAGAAACTGAAACAAGGTATGTCTGTCTTTGTCTGTCTGCCTGTCTTTGTGTTTTTGTCTATCTATCTACCTGTGTGTGGGTGTGTATATTTGTCTGTCTGTCTACTATCTGTGTGTCTGTATGACTGTCTGATGATGATGATGATAATGGTAATTATGATGAGGTTAATGATAATGAAAGAACGTTGTTGGATGTTTTAGCGCTAAAGTTATTTATATTTTTAGTTATTTATATCTGTGGTAACGTGTAATGTCGTGAAATGTGATGTGATAGTATTTAATGTAATGGGATAATATTTAATGTGTGGGATAATATTTAATGTGATGGGATGGTTTTAATGTGATGTGTTGAAAAACTATGACACTACAGGGCAGTTCACGTTACGGGATATGTATGAGCAGTTTCAAAACATTATGAAGATGGGACCTTTTGGACAAATCATGGTTTGTCGTTGCCGTTGTTGTTGATGTTGATGCTGTTGTTGATGTCGTTGCTGTTGTTAATGTTGTTATAGCTGATGTTGATGTTGTTACTGGTGTTGTTGAGTAGTTGTTGTGATTGTTTGTTTGTTTTGTTATCTTTTGTTTTTTATTTTGTTTATTGTCTATGTGTTGTTGGTGTTTTTATTTTGCAGTGTTTGTTTTAATGTTTTCACCATATTTTTAGTCTAGTCGCCGAG